TGGACATAAATACCTTGGGCTAAAGATAGCCGAGCTCGTGACCGGGGCCTTTCAAAGGCATCCGCCGAGCTCAGCTGCCCACCCGCCCCACGCCGGCGTCACGGCCCCACCGTGGCTCACCCCGTGCAGGATGCCCGCTCACCCCAGGCTTTGCCCTCCTCGCTCTCGGGCACCCTCCCTTGCCATGCCCCAAGGGGATGGTCCCTACTCTAGAGAGGTTTTTTTTGAGCGTGTTGCTGCTTTGGTGTTATTTTTTCCCTTTAAAAGTGGGGTTTATGGCCACAGGGAGGTAACTGCTGTCAGCAAATCTTGGTGCCGTCCAGCCCGGCTGTGGGCAAGGGGCTTTGCTGCCCCCCGAGCCTGGCCACGGGCAGGGAATCTTTTATGGGGCCGTTCCCTTTTGTGACCCTCCCCAGGAAGGGGGCATTGAGCAGTCTGTAAATCCATCCCTAAACCAGCCTGCGCTTCAGCTGGGGATCCCATAGCATGGAAAATGAAGTGCAGCAACCTCTTCTTTCCAAAAAATAGTCCCCTCTGGCCACGGGGCTCATCCTGCACCCCGTAACTCCGGGCTGCAGGCAGAGACAACCCCCCACGACTCACGCAGAGGCTGCTGGTGAAGAAGAGTGTTATTTGTGCCAGGCTGCTCGTTCCTGTGCTGCCCACAGCTTTTTCTGGCTAGAACCCCCGTTCTGCCTCTGCCGCAGGGTGCCAAGGAGGGCCAGCAACAGGGCTGGCCCGGGGGGCTGCTCCCCGAGTCTCCCCATCACCAGGATTTAGTTTGGAGGCATCGCTTCCCCCCGAGCAGCCCACCCTCCTGTGGGTGGGTGTATTTTTTCCACCCTCCTTATCCCCTCATCTCAGCCAGGAGCTCCTGGGGCATCGTGTGGCAGCAAAGCCATTGCCCCAGGATCGTGGCCCCTCCAAAAAGTCTCAGTTTGGGGGAGAAAGTGAGAGCTTTGCACTCATGTTCCTGTCACTGATCCTTATGGGTACCCAGCTGAAAATACCACTTTTAGCTCCAACTGCTTGTAAGCATCCTTGATCTGTGTCCAAAGGGAGTCTGGG